TTTTTTTTTTTGGTGGAACCAGGGATTGAACTCAGGCCCTTGTGCTTGCCAGGCAAGCACTTATTCTACTGAGCCATCTCTACAGCCCCTACACAGCTGTTCTTGAGAGAGAAAAGTGAGCAACATGAGTACTACTCAGGTGTAATTTTTTTTTCCCTGTTTTTGAGAAAGGATCACCCTATTAAATTCATGCTGGTATTGAACACACTGTGTGGCCCAGGGTGGCCTCAGGCTTACAGCAATCTTCCCACCCCAGCTCCCAAGTGGTGGGATAACAGAATGCTGGGACAACAGATGCACACCACCACACACCTAGCTTTATTCAGGTCTAATCTGATTGGTTTAAATAAGGCATCTAGCAAACCCCAATTATAGGTTGAAGACTTCTGGGACATGAAGGAATGCTAGATAAAAGTGAGTGTGCTCTGTGACTGGGACTTCAGTTTAGTTTGTTTTTGTTTTTCTGAGACAGGGTCTCGCTATGTAGTTCTGACTAGCTTTGAACTCACTGTGTAGCCCAGGCTGGCCTCAAGCTTCCGGTAATCCTCCTGCCTCAACCTCCCAAGTGCTGGAGTTACAGGTGTGCACCCCGTACCCAACCAAACTCGGTTTTACTGATGTTTGTATTTCTAGAAAATAAAGCCAGATTTTTTGTTCCTCAATTTTCAAACAACCAGCTCTAAGACTTTATTTTATGGAGTTCAGTATTGTACAGATACTCCTCATTTAAACAGTTGATTCCAGTCCTGTGACTATGCTGTTAAATTCATTGCTAAAGGAGGACTAACACAGTATATACAAGATTGAGACCCAAGAAGTGGTCAAAGGAAACTCCAAGTTGATGACTTTGCTTGTCTTTGCATAACTCTTAACATGCAGACCTATGTAGTACTGTATACCAGAACATAAAAGCACAGCACTGTACAGTACAACCAGCAAAATTATACTACTGTACTACAGAAGGAGCTGCCATAAGCCCGCACTGCCGCTCACTTTCCTGCACTGTAAATCCAAACAGTGCCGTAGTCATTAATCTGGAACTCATTAAATGAGGAATATCTGTATTACTTTTGCTTTAAACAAATCTTATTGTATACTTTTTTAATCAGATTTCATTGGTGTTTTAGATTATACAGTGATCACTTTCATCATAGAGAATTTGTATGTGTACATGTTGTAACTTCTTTCTTCACCCATTCCCCTGCCCTCCCTTCAATCCCTCCTCCCCTCCTTTACAAAAGCTGTTTTTCCATTTTTCCTTTTTGTCATTTTTTTCTGTTTTTCTTATTTTTAAGGCTTTTTTTTTTTTTACTTCTCCCTTCTTCCTTCTCCCCTTTATCATTCCCTTTTCCCATTTCCTTTTTATTTTTTTAAGACATAGTGGTGACAGTGGACATCCTTGTCTTGTTCATTTTAGAGTGAAATCTTTCAGTTTTTAAATGTGTAGTATGATATTGGCTCTTGGTTTGTCACTGATGCCTTTCATCATATTGAGATAATGACCATCTATTGTGATTTTCCACAGGGTTTTTATCATGAATGGGTCTTTTTGTCAAAAGGCTTTTCTAGTTCACACTGGCCTCGAACTCATGCAATCCTCCTGGGGGTATTTTTAAAAGTTTGTATTATTACTCCTTCTATTCACTTAATGATATATCTAAAGAAAACATTTTTCTTTTTTCTTTTTTTTTCCAAAATTTTATTGATAAACAGCAATGAGACAGTTTCAAATCAAATCAGAAGAACAGTTTCAACAAATAACACACTGCATATATTCTTCTTAGTGGTTAATTGCTGTACAAGATGTGGACTTGAGATCCTATTTACAAACGCCATTAGAACAAATCATTCTATTCATTAAGAGAATGCAACTATATAACTATCCTAACCACTTTGAATAAACAGATACAAAATGGACATTCATCCGTATACCCTATTTTTTCTAAGTTCCGTTATTGAATATTATAGGTGTGTAAACTCAGCAAAATATTCTAAAAAAGTCCAGTAGACTATAATGGCATTGGGTCTTCTGTTTAACTGGCAATGTCAGAAATTATTGACCTGAGTCCCCCACAGCTCAACATAACAGCATGGCTTTACTTCCTATATTTTGCCTTCATACTTTTCTACTGGATGGATAAGACCAAGGTAAAGCAGGACCTGTGCAATAAGAGTTGTAGCTTTTTGGTCTGAGAAGGTCAGTGAAATCCCCTCAGGATTTATCCTGAGATCCTGTACCTCAGATTGTAAGGAAAATGTTTTTCTTTCTTTCTTTTTTTTTTGGTTGTTTGAGTTTCTTTATTTGTTTGTTTGAGACAGGGTCTCCCTATATAGTTCAGGCTGGCCTTGAACTCACAGTGATGCTGCCTCAGCCTCCCAAGTCCTAGAATTACAAGTATGCATCACCATGCCTGGTTTAGTATTTTTCCAACAAGTGAACCTTTATAAACAATGTCACAGTCACACCTAAGAAAATTAATAATCTTTAAATCTCAGGTAACACTCATTCTGTTTTCAGACTTCCCCAAATGTCTGGGAACATGGATGGAGACAAACACACAGTACCTAGGAGAAGGGACAGGGTATAGAAAGAGCACGGAGCTTACCTCTCCACCCCAGCCAACGTCCCAGTTCCAGACGGACTGCCAGGGCAGTTTACGTAGCTGGCGTCAGGCGGCTGGCCAACTTTGACAAAAGTAACTGAAACAAACTTCTGTAGACTATAAACACCCATGAATGTGTGTATGTCCCTGAAACAAGCCTAAGTCACCAGCACAGCACTACGATGGTCTGCATACCATGCACTACCCTTGCACTACCAGGTTATCTAAATTAATCCTTAGTTTGCAAGGTAAATGCTGTCAGTCCCAAGGACCAAGCAGAGAACATGAATCCAGAGAGTTTCAGGATCATGCTCAGGTCAGACCTTGCAGGAAATAAAAGTGATTCTGATTGGAGCTGGTGAGATGGTGCAGTGGTCTAAAGCACCTACTTAGAACAAGCTTATCAAAGCACAGGGACCGTGGTTCAATCCCCAGCACCACATGCCAGCCAGCCCCGCCCCCTGGTGGGCTGAGCTGGCCACACACACACACACACACACAAATAAATAAATAAATACAGTGATTCTGATTATCCCACACTGCCCAGTATCTGGATAGTGTGAAAGCAAAGACTTGGGGAGCATGACTGCTAGAACTCTGAAGAAAGGATATGGCTGCATCTTCTGCCCTTTGCAGTCACCTGGAGTAGGCTGCCACTGGCCACGCCCAGCAGGAGGGTGAAGCCGTGGGTCTGAGGTGCCCAGGCCCTCCCTGGGAGGACAGCAGCAGCGCTGAGGGGAGGGGAGCTCCAGCGCCAGAGCTAGCCCTCACACCCTTCAGCCCATCCTGACTGTGGCCCTCTGCTCTAAGAGGGGCCTCAACGCAGCCTGGGTTCTTCTTTACAGACTGAATAATTTAGGCCCCAGCAACCTGAGGTGTCAGTTTCAGTTGTTCTCAAGGCACAGGTGTCCCAGCAGGGTAATTAAGCTAAGAACAGGCAGATGGGGAGGGGCCACTGTCCTGCACTTCAGCACTGGGCCTGAGTCCCCTGCTTCTTGACCTACTGAGAGCGGCAGGCTCTCTCTTAGCTTCGGAACCAGGCGTGGAGGACAAGAGTCAGGGGCCTGAAACAGAAGGAGCAAGGAAGAGCAGAAAGAGGCAGACAGAGGAAGGTGAGAACCCAGAGGTAGAGAAACCAAGTGGTTACAGAGGGAAAGATAGATGGGACTAGAGATAGAGGGTAATGGGCATTGGAAAGGGCAGCGGCCAAGGCTGGAGGATGAATGGACTGGCAGAGGAGAAGCAGCAGATGCCAAAAACCAAATACGAAGATCAACAAGCAGGTGCAAACTAGGGTCAGACAACCAGAGGGCAATGGGGCTCCCAGAGAGTGGCCGGGCCAGGCCTGGGAATGATCTCAGCGTTTCCAGTTTCCAGGTCCTGTCCACACTGACCGGTCAACTAGGTCTGACACCGTCCTAGGTCTGGCCCCGAGACCGGCCCCACCTCTGGCTGTGGTGGAACCATGGGGCCCAGAAGCTGCCACCTCTACCTCGGCCTTCTGCTCCTGCTCCTACTTCCTACAGGTACGAAACTCAGCAAACCAGCCCGGCCTCTCCTACCATGCTGTCATTTCTGTCAGCTCCAAACCTCTCTCCCCTAGGAAGTCTCTATCTTTCTCTTCAGTCCCTTTCCTGGGAACAAGCTCTCTATCTGGGGAATGGGGAAAGAGCTGCTGAATGGAGTGAGAGACCTACCTGGCTGTAGTGGGAGCAGCAAAGGGGAATTTCCAGTGATGGCACTGGAAGCTCCAAGGGGCCAAAGGAGAAGGGCCTTGAATGTCAAGCCAATGCTTTTTTTTTTTAATTTTATTTATTTATTTATTTAGTGTGTGTGTGTGGCCAGCTCAGCCCACCAGGGGGCAGGGCTGGCTGGCATGTGGTGCTGGGGGATTGAACCATGGTCCCTGTGCTTTGCTTAGCTTAGCTTGTTCTAAGTAGGTGCTTTAGACCACTGAGCCATCTCACCAGCCCCATAGCCAATGCTTTTTAGCCTGAGCAATTTTAGGCAGGTACTGGCCTGGCAGAAATACATGTTTAAAAGCTTAATCTACCAGAAATGTAGTTTGGTAGGAGAGAGTGAGTTTAAGGTAGGCAGAGTTATGAGGAGGCTGCTATTGCTGCCATTGTGGTCCAAGCCAGAAAGGAAGGAGATTGAGCTGGAAAGGAGAGTGTGATCAGGAGCTATCTGGCAGGATTTGGAGACGAATTGGATTCTGATGAAAAGAGAAAGCAAAGGAAGAAAAATTCCAATTTCCTGCCATCATGGGGAGTGCTGTTTGCTGAGACCAAGAATACAGGATAAGTTTCAAGCCAAGTGTGGTGGCACATGCCTGTAATACCAGATAGGAGGTTGAGGCAGGAGGATTGTAAATTTGAACCCAAAATCAGTCAGTCAGCCAGGTATGGTGGCACATGCCTGTAATACCAGATAGGAGGTTGAGGCAGGAGGATTGTAAATTTGAACCCAAAATCAGTCAGTCAGCCAGGTATGGTGGCACATGCCTGTAATCCCAGCACTCGGGAGGATGAGGAAGAAACATCACCAAGAGTTTGAGGCCAACCTGGACTACATAATGAGTGCAAGGCCAGCCTGAATTATGCAACAATGTGGAGGACCACCTGAGCAGCTCTCCTTGAAAGAAGAGCGATTGTCTCCATTTTGGCTGAGCCTGACCCTATTTCCTTGTATTGATATGTACAGAGCTGGCTAGGATTTCACTTTGTCCTTTCAGCTGGCCTTAAGCAATGTATATTGGTCTAGCCAAGGTGCTGGTAGTAGTGTCTGAAGGTGGCATGCGTGTCTCCCTGATAACCCACACCTGCTACTCTTTACTGTAAGCTGGGTTGAGACAGGATGAAGAGCCAGTGCTCCATGCTGCCGGCTGGGATCGAGCCTCGAGATAGAGGCTATGATTTCCTGGAGCTTAAAAGACTACACAGTAGAGCCGATAAAGCCAAAGCACCAGACCCCCGAAACATTAGATACCATCTCAATAACATAATGCAAATTACTTTCTCTGCATATCCTCTCTGTATATGGCAGAGGTAAATGTAGGCCACCTACCTAAGATCACAGTATTCACCTACTTCCCACAATTCTCAGTCATTCATCCTCAAGCCATGCCTCCTTCATGACTGAATAAAACCCAGACTCGGTTAAGGCCTTTGTTCCAGATAGCACTCACTATGGCTGGACTTAGGACTCCTTGGCTCTCCATAATTACAAATATGCTTTAATGTCTTTATTTTCACTGTGGATTGCACTAAGAGTGGTAGATTGGAATTAACTTGGTGGGATTCCAATAACATATCCTTGAGATTACAAATATTGACTTCTTGGACAGAGACGAGAACCTGGAGGGAACTCCTACATAGCAAGACTTCTGTCTCGGGGCCAGGGAGATGGCTCAGTAGAATAAGTGCTTGCCTGGCAAGCGCAAGGGTCTGAGTTCAATCCCCGGTTCCGTTTAAAAAAAAGACTTCTGTCTCAAAAAAACAACAACCAGTCAATCCATCAAAGTACTAAAGCTGTAGGTCAGTGAAAAAGCTATGGGGGTTCAATCCCCAGCACAAAATATAAAAAGTAGGTTTCAGGGCCTGGGGGCTTAGCTCAGTGATAGAGCACATCCTTATCATGTGACAGTCCCAATTCTGATCCATGCCAGAAGCCATGGAAGACAACATGCCAGGACGAAAAAAAGGACAGACTTCTAAACCCGAGACAAGAGATGAGTTAGTATTTTGGGACTATGAAACTTAAAATGCTTTTAAAAAGCAAGCAGTGGACAATAGTACATATAGGTCTGAAACTACAAAGAAAAATCTGGCTTAAGAAAAAATGATGAAAAGAAAAACAAGAGGAAGGACAAGATTCTGAGGACAATCTTTAAGTCAGAGACAAAAGAAAAACTAGTATATTTTCAGAAGAGAGAATGCCAGGCATGGAGGTCACACCTGTGATTCCCAGCTACTCAGGAAGCTGAGACAGAAAGATGGTTTAAGCCTAGGTGTTCAAGGTCAGCATGGACAAATCAGCAAGACTTCTCTCAAAACAAACTAACCAATCAATAGCTTGCTTCAGAGGAGGAAATCCATATATAGGAAGGTTTGAGAGACCAGAGAGAGAAGGTACTAAGACTTGGGATGCCTGGATAAAAGTTTGGAGTCCTGGGCACATGGGGTCCCTTCAGCCTTTGTGGCAGGACAGGCAGAATCCAGGTCCTCAGAAATGAAGAGAGGCAAGGAAGTCAGTATCTCTCCAAAAGATGAGTCCATGGTCATGGCCTCGTTTGTCCCTTCAGACAAATCAGGGAAGAACCAGAACCACAGCTAGAGGGACAAAGAACAGGCAGTAGGAAGACCACTGAAAAAGCTGGGGGGGTAGTGAGACAGGTGACAGGACTCCAGCTAGGGGCTCAGGGGCAGAGTCCCTGGCCTGGAGTCACACTTGGGTGGACAAACCTGACTGCTCCTCCAGAGTGCTTTGCAGCTGAGGGCAGGCTGGCGCACAAGCTGTTCCGTGATCTCTTTGCCAACTACACAAGTGCCCTGAGACCTGTGGCTGACACAGACCAGACTCTGAATGTAACCCTGGAGGTGACACTGTCGCAGATCATCGACATGGTGCGTTGTGGCTGTGGGAGAAGAGCTCTGCAGTGCTACCCGTAACAGGGCCCAGGGCTAAGGGGTGAGAGACTGGAAAGATTCTCCCAACAAGTCTGTAATCATTAGGTTAACAAGGATAAATGGCACCAACTGCCAAGTGCCCACTGTGTGCCCTACACTCTGTACCCTGGATTCACTGAGTCCCCCCTGTAACTGCTGAGGAACCTGAGGTCCAGGGATGAGAGAAACCTGCCAAGGTCACCCAGCAAGGTCAGGCGTGGGAGGGAAGCAGAGGGCAGGGCAGTCAGCTCAGAGGTGCTAACCAGTGCCCCGCTGGGGAGTGTACACTAAGAGATCAGGGGCTCTCTCAATCAGGTGTCCACTCTCCACCCTCCAGGATGAGCGGAACCAGGTGCTGACCCTGTACCTGTGGATCCGGCAGGAATGGACAGACGCCTACCTACGATGGGACCCTGATGCCTATGGTGGCCTGGATGCCATCCGCATCCCCAGCAGTCTGGTGTGGCGGCCGGACATTGTTCTCTACAACAAGTACAGCCTGCCTGGGGGGCCCCTCCTCTCCCAGCCTTCTGCAGAGCTGCCCTTCACCCCAGTATACACGGATCCCCCTCCAACTGCCTGACCTGGTTGCTCAGGAAACGTCACCCTGGGGCTCTTCTAAGCCAGCAGGAACTCACAACCACCCCTCAGCAAGGCACCCCCACTTCAGGCTGACCCAGAACAACTCAGGCTGCAAGGCTGCTAGGAAGTAGCCTCGAGGGCCTCTTTGGCCCCCTTCGCCCTTCCAGGAGGGTCTGATCTCAGGGCTTCCCAGGGATCTCCTTCCCCCAGGCGAGGGGTATCTAGCTTTCCTTTATGCAGAGGAACCAGTTCTGGTCTAGCCAACACAAGGGGTTGCACAGCTTCTCTCAAACTCTCAAGCAATTCTGCGATGACCGCGAGGTCACACTAGCGTTGTGGAGTGGCCGTCTGCTCTTGCAGTCAACTTTTTACCCTACCTGGCCTAGCGCGCTCCCCCTGGAGCCCTTCGGGGGCCGCCCCCTCCGGACTTGCGCAGACAAAGCGCTGCCCACGGTGCCTCCTCCCCGCCTTCCCCCGCCCCCCATGACCCTCCAAGTCCGCCCTCGCCTCTGCACGCTGATCTGGCCTCCTCTGCCCGCAGGGCGGACGCGCAGCCGCCGGCCTCAGCCAGCACCAACGTGGTTTTGCGGCACGACGGCGCGGTGCGTTGGGACGCGCCGGCCATCACACGCAGCTCGTGCCGCGTGGACGTGTCGGCCTTCCCGTTCGACGCGCAGCGCTGCGGCCTCACCTTCGGTTCGTGGACACACGGCGGTCACCAGCTGGACGTGAGGCCGCGCGGCACCGCCGCCAGCCTGGCTGACTTCGTGGAGAACGTGGAGTGGCGCGTGCTGGGCTTCCCCGCGCGGCGGCGCGTGCTCACCTACGGCTGCTGCTCCGAGCCCTACCCCGACGTGACCTTCACGCTGCTCCTGCGTCGCCGCGCCGCCGCCTACGTCTGCAACCTGCTGTTGCCCTGCGTGCTCATCTCGCTGCTCGCGCCGCTCGCCTTCCACCTGCCCGCGGACTCTGGCGAGAAGGTGTCGCTCGGCGTCACGGTGCTGCTGGCGCTCACAGTCTTCCAGCTGCTGCTAGCCGAGAGCATGCCGCCGGCCGAGAGCGTGCCGCTGATCGGTGAGCCCGGCTGGCTGGGACGGGGAAGGGGCAGGCACCCTCGGGAAGTCGGGGGCGCTCATCCAGGCTTGGTGCGGGGAGATCTGCGCCCCGCCCTTCGGGTCGTTTTATTTTATTTATTTATTTTTGGTATTTTGAGACAGTTTGTTACAGTAGTTCAGGCTGGACTTGAACTCACATTGACCTCAGACATGAGGCTTTCTTCCCGTCTCAGCCTCCTAAGCGCTAGAGCTGTAAGCCACCCCCATCCTGGTGTTTTAAACTTAGGCAGAATGTGCTGAGCACTGGCCAGTGCCAGGCCCTGTCCTGGGCATGTGAGGTGAGCAGCACCTCCAACGTACCAGGTAGATTCTGTCCGTATCCCAGCTGGGCATAAAGGATCCGAATTTGCCCCAGATCATGCCCACAACTATTGGAGCCTAACTTAATTGTTCCTTCTATCCTTGGGCTTGACCGGCCTGTTTGGATTTGGGGGTCAGGCAGCAGGGAAGCTTAGAACCCCCAAGCTGTTGTTTTGAGACCCAACTGTCTGTCTCTCTCTTGCAGGGAAGTACTACATGGCCACCATGACCATGGTCACTTTCTCAACAGCACTGACCATCCTTATCATGAACCTGCATTACTGTGGTCCCAGTGCCCGTCCAGTGCCAGCCTGGGCTCGGGCCCTCCTGCTGGGACACCTGGCAAAGGGCCTGTGTGTGCGGGAACGAGGGGAACCCTGTGGGCAATCCAGGCCACCGGAGCCAGCCCCCAGCCCCCAGCCTCCTGCTGGCCCCCCAGCAGGCCCTTGTCATGACCCACGGTGTCTGTGCCACCAGGAAGCCCTGCTGCACCATGTGGCCACCATTGCCAGCACCTTCCGCAGTCACCGGGCTGCCCAGCGCCGCCATGAGGACTGGAAGCGTGTAGCCCGCGTGATGGACCGCTTCTTCCTGGGCATCTTCTTTTCCATGGCCCTGGTGATGAGCCTGCTGGTGCTGGTACAGGCCCTGTGAGGGGCAGGGGCCAGGTACTGGGGAGCTGCTGCGGCCACTGCACCTCCCAGCAGGGGTGGCAAAGACCAGGCAGTGCTTGGTCCTCACAGAGGCTAGCCAGGAGCTCCCCAGAAGGGCACCTTTCTGCAAGACCACTGAAGGACTACTGATTTCACAGTCCACAGGGTCTCCTTGGCCTCTGCTGTCCTAACTACTCCCCTGATTCCTAAAAGAGGAGGAACTCTCGGGAGCATCCATGCTCTTTGTTAGAGCTCTTGGGGAAGTACAGTTTCGGTACAAGAAACAGAGCCGCTGCATTTCCTGCCTCGCTAGGGAACTGTTATCACAAGGACTTAGCCTTGCCATCCTTGCCTAAGGGCTCAGGGAAGGAAATTCATGTTTCCAAAGCAGGAGGCCTAACAGACATTCAGCTCCAGAGCCTTCACCTGTAATAAAGTGTGCACCTGGCCCCCCTGATATCCCATCTTTCCCTTGAGTCCCATGGTAGTAGAAGTCAAGGATCCAAGTTTGTCTACAGACCACAGTCTCAAAACTGGTGGATCAGGGATGGGAATATGGCTCAGTAGAATAAGCACTTCCCTGGCAAGTGCAAGGATCTGAAAAAAAAAGAACTAGTGGATCAAAGCAGAAATTACATCTTTGCTGAAAAACCACCAGGCTCCTAGGAAAGAGCCCAGTTCTCCTGTGCATTTCTGTGCATTTCTCCTGGGTCCCGTCTTCCTGAATTACATATGGTCCATCCCATTCCCACACACAGTTGGAGCCATGCAAAGTGTCAGAGTAGGGCCGGTGCTGGGATCAGTCATTCACAGGTACTAGTTCCTTTCTGACTCTCTCACAGGGTTACTGGCACCATCACTGTGCCTGTGACCTAGTCTCTGCCTTCAGAAACTAGGGACTGGGACCCGTGGGAATGCAGGGGCAGGGATCCTAACCCAGCCAGTGGCAAAAGCCAGAGGCAGCCTTCTGCAGAGTGATTAGGAATCACACGGGTCCCATGGCCAGGTGCCATCTCCCCACCCCAATGTCCTTCCATTGAGTTGAGGTCTCTTCTGTCTGCAGGTGAACAGCTGCTGTCCTGGAGTTCTCCCACCTCTAGGAGGAACCTCACTCCAAGAACCTGAGGTTCTGTCCTGGGACTCCCCAGGACTGGCAGCTGTAGATGGGCTCACCAGAGCGCTCAGGTACACTTTGAGCACGCATGGCCAATGTCCTGCGGCTGGCAGGGGCGCAGGCAGGGGCTGCTCAGGCGTCTGATCTCATGGGTCACAGCAGGTCTGTACTTGTTGGCAGGTCCTACAGGAACCACAGTGACAGCAGCAGGGACCAGACTGCCAAGAGGGAGCCCTTATGGGTGGCTGCAGGAGAACAGGCAGGGGAGAAAGGGAGAGAATTAGAGACTGGTGGAGGACATGAAGATATAACATGGCAGCGCGAGCTGAAAGGACTGATGCACACAATGTGCCAGGAGACAAAGACAGGATTCAGCAAGGAGGAGACAGGGAGGGGTGAGAGCCCCTGGACCCCACCCAGAGGCTGTCAGACACCACCCTCTGCCTTCAGAATGCACAAGTGAGGGGCTGGTGAGATGGCTCAGTGGAATAAGCGCTTCCCTGGCAATCGTAAGGGCCTGAGTTCAATCCCCAGTTCTGCAAAAAAAACCAAAAAGCACAAGTGAGGCTGCAGGCTGGGTCTCGCGTCAGGCAGAGACCCGCGTGGGTCCCAGGGAACATCTTGGTCAGAGACACACTGTGGGGAAAACAGCTGAACCTCCTGGTGCTGGAAGTTTTGTCGGGGCTCAAAGAGGCCTTAGTCGGATGCTGGGGCCCCCACTTCTGTTCCTGCCACTCATTCAGTAACCGTGGGAATCACTTCTGCCTCATTTAGTTTCCACTTCCCTGTTTTATGGGGGTGACACCCCATTTCTGCCTTCTGCTAGTCAGCAATGTGGTAAAGATAAAGGGAGATGATGTCAGGAATAGTGGGGTGTATGGTCCATTGGTGGGGTATCCAAAGTTTGGCTCTAGAGCCAGGTGGCCTGGGCCCCTCTCACCCTTCCAGGCTGTGTGGTGCAGGGCTGGCTGCTTCTTCTGTGGGCCCTGTGTCCTGCTATGTAAAAAGGGGTGCTGACAGGACCTGCACTATGTAGTGTGGAAGGACTCATGGCCCAGTGTATGTGGAACCCTGACACACGGGGGTACAAAGCAGAGCCTCAGGGTCCTTCCTGCCCACTGCTCAAAATCCTAGGGAGGGAGGCAAGGGACAGTGACCCATGGGGGTGGGAAACAGTTGTTTCTTCGCTGGAAGTGGTCTAATCCCACCTAGAGAAGTACAGGCCCTGGCATAGCAAAAGTTGGAGGAAAGAAGAGAGAGAAACCTGGGTTTCAGCTAGTCCTATTTGCTTATTCAGCAATAAAGAAACTAAGGCCCAGAGGACAAAAAAAAAAAAAAAAACAGGTTTTTCAGAAAGTTAAGGGGTCAGGGAGATAGCTCAGTAGAATAAATGCTTGCCTGGCAAGCACAAGGGCTTGAGTTCAATCCCCAGTTCTGCCAAAAAAAAGAAAAAAGAAAAAGTTAAGAGTGGAGCCTAGTGTAGAGCTGAGGCCTTCATCTGTGAAGGCTGGTGTTGGCTTTCAAAGGTAGGTCTGTGCGAGCCTGAGGACAGTGATGAAGGTAGTGACAACAGAGACAGAATGGGTTCTGCAGCCCAAGAGAGGACACTGTGGGGGCAGCCTCAGACCAGCCTGAGTCCTTGGGCCTGACAGTAGCCTCTCCTGTGAGGGCCGGGCAGACCCAGCTAGAGAGCAGGTGATCTACCGACCTGACTGCCACTTGGTACAGGTGCACACCCTCTGGGAGAACTTAGCAGCCCCCTTAACTGTCTCATTAAAAGGGTTCACTTTTAGAGCTGGGCATAGTAGTACACGCCTATAGTCCTAGCACTTAAGAGACTGAGGCAGGAGGATCTTCTTGAGTTTGAGGCCAGTGTAGGCTACACAGTTCAGTACCATCATAGCAAGACCCTGTCTCAAAAAAAGAGGGTTCTCTTAATTAGGAGGTGGTTTTTCTTATGAGATGGTGGTCCAGATGAGGGCCCAACTGCCAGGACCCCGGTCATCCCAGCGCTGAGGTCCAGCCTTACCTGAGCTATCCAGGCGGCAGGGCCCAGATTTGCACTTCTTGTCTGGAGGAAAGAAACAGGGAAGAATCAAAGCCATGGTAGCTCTCCGGGTAGGAAGGGCCTTGCCCTGATTTTCCCTAGAAAGAGCTGGTGTTGTGTCCTCTCATACTGCTCTATAAGGTAGGACCACCCTTTCTTGGCTACATTTGAGGACCCCAAACTAGCAAGCAGTGGGGTCAGCAGGGAGCCAGCTGGCCAAGCAGTGAGTCACCCTGCTCCCTGGCCTGTGGGTTTACCCTCTTGCCACGCTTACCTCTCCCCGCCCTTTCTGTGTCCCTGCCAGGGAGGGCTGCTCTGCATTGTTGGCCTGTCCTCACTACCAAGTCAGCTTCTGATCACCCACAGTGCTAGACAAAGGGGACCTGAAGCCACACAAGACCACTTCCCACTTTAGTGCTGGTTATGGTTTCGGCCAACTATCTGCTTTTGGTGATGAAAACTGGGCTTTACTCAGCCAGAAATAGCAAGCCACAACCCTTCAGAGATAATACCAAGATGGCTATGGAGGCACATGCCTGTAATCCCAGCACTATGGGAGGCTGAGGCAGGAGGATTGCAAATTTGATCCTAGCCTAAGCAATTTAGCAACTTAGTGAGACCCTGTCTCAAAAGGGAGGAGGGGTGGAGCTGTAGCTCAATGCAAAGGCCCTGGGTTCAATCCATAGTAGCACCCCCTGCCCCATTCTTATTGTTCTTCCTCTGATAAGCCCTGGAGAGTGGACAGGAGGAGTAGCGAAAGCCTGCCTGGTCGCAGCTGGACCTGGAATTTAGAGACACAACACCCATGTGCACACACACGCACATGCACTTGTACACCTGCCCAGGACCCTATAACACATCATTTCTGTTCTGCCTCATAAAAGCAACCTGGAGCCAGGCATAGTGCACACGCCTGTAATCCCAGTGCTGGGGAAGCTGAGCCAGGAAGATTGCAGTGAGTTTGAGGCCAGCCTGGGCTACAAGTGAGTTCAAGCTAGCATGAACTAGAGTGAAGCCCTGTCTCAAAAAGGAGGAGGAGGAGGAGGA